CTTCTCGGAGGCAATAATTCTGGACGGCAAGGGAGGAACAAAGAGGGATGCTAGAAAAATCAGTCGTCCAAGTAACGACTCAAAAGTGGTGAGTCGTCCTATCACAAGAGGGTTTAAACCACTGAAAGAAAAGGAGAGTGAAACGGAAAAGGCCGCTTTTGGGTGTCATATTAAAGGATCAATCAGACACAGTCCCAGGCCCTCAGGGGCTCACAAGCCAGCGAGGGAGGCAGACACTGGCAGGCACGATGACAATGTTGGAGGGAACCTCGGGTCTCCAGGGGAAGGGGGTGCGCCTTCCTCAGGGCCGCACCTCGCCCAGCGGACACCGCCCCGCCGCCCCGCCAGCTCCTGCACTCACTCTTGTTCAGAGGACGGGTTAGCTCAGCCCCGACGTCGCCATCTGCGCTGGGGCCCTGAGGTTTCACAGTCAGCGGCACAAACAAGGACGTGTTCGGGGCTTTGGAGCCTCCTGAGGCAGAGGAGGAGGCGGGGGCAACAGCGGGAACGCGCCCCAGAGTCCCGGGAAAAGGGCCAACGTGGGCGCGAAGGGCGGAGCAGACGGCGGCGCGATGGCCGGCGTGGCGCCCCGCCGGGAGCCGAGCCCACAGCAGGGCACATCTGGGAAAGGACATTTACGGACCGCAGGCCCCGAGGAACACTGGCTGGAGCAGCGCGGGGACACGGCGGTTGACAGTGACGCACACCGCCAGCGCCTATTCTCCGGAAAGACCCAGACCCCGCAGAGGAGCTGCCCAGGAAAACGCTCGATCAAAAAGAAAAAGTGCTTGCAATAAGATTGCGCTAAAGGAGGGAAAGATTAGGAATGAAAACTAGAAAAGATAAGTTCTTGTTCTCTCTCTTTCATTAGATATCGGGGACAGATTTCTCTAAAAAAAAAAAAAAAGAATCAGGCACGTTTGGGGATGTCACAGGTGAGAGGAGGGGCCTGCGTAGTGTGTCACGTGACGCAAGCTGGCCGGGTCAGTAGGCGCGTGTTTAGAAGCACGTGGGCAGTGCAGCGGGCAGCGGGGGCGGAGGTTGCCGGAGAAGCAGTTGCGTGTGCTGTGAGCATGGCTTGTGTACTAGAACGCTGGAAGTGTTTCCCCAAGGGTTTCTTGGAGTACTAATTTTCGTTTTCCGATACAGTGGCATTAGAGAGCATAATTCGATCTGCTCTATAGGAACGTTGCCAAGGTATTTGGTTGGTCTAGTTTCTTGGGTAAACGTCGTGTATAGGTGTGAAGTACTTTAACACTTTTTAAAAAATCCTTACCTAAGGATATTTTTCCATTGATATTTAGAGAGTGGAAGGGAAGGCGGAACAGGGACGACACAGGACGACATGGATGTGAGAGAGATATGAGAGGGACACATTTGTTGACCCGGCTGGGGATAGAACCTGTAACCGGGGTACTTGCCCATGACCGGGATTCTAAGCACTGAGCCAAACTGGCCAGGGCAGTACTTACACTTTAATGTGAGCAGTTTATGTACATCATCCTAGCCGCTGATATGTCACAACCGCATAGCAAAAATGTCCTCCACTCCTGCCCAAGTTTAGTTTCATTTTCATTGGTTGGATACTGTCAGATGAGGTTGCAACATAATTAAATTCAAAATATGCTGTTAGAGTTTCCACCTTTCATTATACTTAAAACATTAAGATCTTGCAACTTTTCTGAATACATGTGTCATGTAATATGTACTATTCTCTGTCAAATGGGATTCCAATAACAATTGGCTATGTGCCTTTGAATCACAGAGTACTTTTTAAACATCAGGGACACAAGAGTAATTGTATTACATTTAGACCCATAGATTTTTCTAAAGGACATCTTTAATTTTATAATCACTAGGAAAATTAGGTTCATCCATTTATTCAGATATTGTGTATGATAAGCACAAAGTACACCAAACAAAATAGGTTGAGTCCTCAAAAAGCCTAAAATCCATTTAATTTATCATCTTCTAAGTGTGGTAAGCAGAGTCCTGGAGGTGTGGCACAGCATGCCTTGGCAGCACAGAGGACATCTCTTTGACTTGGAGATGGTGTCAAGTCAGATTGGTCAGGAGAACCTTACTGGAAGTTAGCTGGAGTATAGGAAGGAGGGTGGATATTCTCTGGAGTCTGGCATAACCGGAGCTGGTGTTTGTAATATGGAATTTAAACTTTATCCTGGAATTGAGTCACTGTAAGATTTTAGGTAGGGGTGTCAATAAGAATTAAGCTCATGGAAGACCCTACACCTAAGAAAGGATGCATTATACATTAATGATGCACATTTTCCTCACTATGCCTTTAACTTATTTGAAACTTAAAATGTTACATTCCAATTCAGGCTAGGAAAAAACCCCTTAAGATGTCCTTTATATACTATGTTCAACATATTCAGCTCAATATAAAAGGAGCATAAATGTAAGACTCCTGACTCACATGGTAATTAAGAACTGAGTATTACAACTACTTCATCCATACTAAAGGGTTCCAGAATATGCCACTGTGGCATAATAAAAGTTTTGAGAAAGTATTTGAGTTCCTGAAATCCCTGTCTGCCTCCCAAAAGAACTCAATTGCCATAAATCTCAGGGAGCAACCAGGAGAGATTAACAGCACCAGGCAGAAATCAGCACCACACCTAAACAGACTTTGTCAACAAAACTATCCTATCTACCATCTAACCTAAGAACCCATGTATTTTTCCTAAAATTCATTTGCTTTTCCTTATGTCCTTTCTCCCTTCAAATTTCCTTATTGAGAAAAAGTGTGCTTTACCCCCTTTCCCCTATCAGATATTTAAGCCCCAAATTCTCTAACCAACTCTTTAAGACACGTTTTTGGCCCTGGCCAGTTTGGCTCAGCGGTTGAGCATTGGCCTGCAGACCAGAGTCACAGGTTCAGTTCCCAGAAGGGGCACGTACCACAAAAGGGAAAAAAAAGATGCGTTTTTGTGAACTCCCTTTACACTCAATTAAATGTTTTTTCTCTTGCTAATCTGTCTTTTGTCAGTTTAATTAGCAGGCTCCCCAACAATTCAAAACAATGAAAATTCTTCACTAGTGAGAAAAATATTCAAATGTTAGATAATGGTTCTCAACCCTGGGTAATCTTTTTTTAATATTTATGTCTGGGCCCCTGAAATTCTGATTTTATTGGTCTGGGTAGGACCTGGCATGTTTATTTTCAAAAACTGCTAAAGTGATTTAAACATGCAGCCAGGATTGAGAACCACTGGATTAGATATTGTACTCTATAAAGATACAAATTTCTTTTCCAGTTCTCTTCAGATTAACTGGCCAACTTAAAAAAAAATTTTTTTTCATTTATTTGAGAGAGAAACATCGATGAGAGAGAACATCGATTGGCCGCCTCCTGTATGCCTCCCACTGGGGACTGGGCCCACAACCTGGGCATGTACCCTGACCAGGAATCAAACCAGTGACCTCTTGGTGCATAGGTCAATGCTCAACTACTGAGCCACACTGCCCGGGCTAACTGGCCAACTTTTTACTCAATTCATCAAATACTAAATTCACATTTTTATTTTTCAAATTGGCTATGCAACAAAGTCTCAAGCAGAGTGAATAAGCACCCAATTTATGACAGTATTTTAAGCCACCTAATTGTGTTATATAGCTGTTTAAAACTGAAACTGACAATATTTATGAAAATTTTCAATTGTCATAATTATAGCTTCCTGAACTGTTAAGCAATCCTGGCCTACATAAAACTGAAAATGAGAAGAGATCTGAGAATCGAATTATTTTAATTATTCAAAGCAAGCTCAGTATGTATTTCAAATTCTTTATTATATATCATGGTCACACAATTTGAGGCTAAATACAATTGGTTTATTTTTCTGTGAATATTTTCTAGATTACTACATGCAAGTGACCATGAAAATATTTGGCATTTTTAAAATTTGAAACTCTGAACAGGCACTTACATGAAAGGAAAACATTACTGTTCACAGGTATCCACGTTTAAAATAGATGCTCCAGCACATGGTACATGGAACCTTTTGCCAGTAGAGAAGTTGATTACTGACCATTTCATCAAAGTGCCACAGTAGTAAAATAAGTTTAAAGAAATAATGATTTGGGTTACTTAGCTTACTCATAAAGTAAACTGCTGAGACTTGCACTGAAGTGTATAAAAAATATTGGTACAAAAACCAATGAACCATGAGTGAGTGTAGTTTCACACAACAGGCTTCCTTGTTTTAGCTCCTACACCCCTCATTCAGTGTATCTGAGATCAGACCTTATGCACATGACTGCAGCCTTCTTTTTTACAGACATTGAACAAATGACTTGAATTTAGTATTAAAATTTAAACAGAGTAGGGAAAATTTTAAATTGAGTTTGAATGAGCCAAAGTTCCAATTTAACAAACACGATAGTGTCCAGGACTGGGTAACTACACGCTTATTAACAGGTCCTTCTGAATCACCCCCATCCTCCAATTTGCCTGAGAAGGGAAGACAATATCTGTGAAGTCAAGAAAATTATATTTGCATGTATATGATAAAAAGATTCTTTAAATTAAAAAACAATTTCAAAGTACTGATGGAAAAGTTAAATAGTTTTAACAACTTCTAAAATGCCAACACAGAGTCAACTCCACACTGCAGAAAACATACAGTGGACCTGCTGGATAGTAGCAGCAAAATGGTTCCTTAACATGACAGAAAAAGGAAAAAAAAAAAGGCTGTAATGATATGCCACATAATTACTTGGGGAGAAAAATGAATATTCTTACCACAGAAGACTTCAAAGAGAATAAAATTCAGGAAGCAATGAAATGGTAGACTCAGAAGCACCTACAGTGCAACATTCCATATGCATTTCTCAAATACATATGGAAGAACGTAAATGTACTCAAAATTAATTTGAACACAAAATATTTAATTTTGCACATAGAGAATAAGAGGTAATCATTAGCATGAAAAAGAAATGGATTTATAATCAACATTATGCAAAATAAAAGCAAAATTACAAATACCAGCCTACTCATATGAAAATCTTTAATGTTTATACTGACGCATACATGAGTGCTTACCATCCAAGTGTGCAATAAAAAACAACAAAAAACGGCAGCTTAAGAAAGTTCCAGTGTTTCAAAGAAAGCACTTTTTAAATGTAGTACATGAAGAATATTTAGTTATATCAGAAAATAAATGCAGTGCTATAAAATAAAGGAAGACTATTTATACATGGACTTTTGGCCTTTTCCCCCCTACATGCTGCAACCATCTTTATCCAGCTGAACTTAATCTCATCAGTTATAAGAGTTTGTTTTTCTCTTTTTCTCCTACTCAGTTCACATTTCAGGCTGTTCAGCAGATGCCTGTGATTCTGGTGATTCAAATCGCTGGTGAAAGTTTGTTCTCTGTTTCCTCAGTTTTTCAGGAGCTTTTCTCCATAAAATGATCTCCTAGTAAAAAAAAAAAAAAAAAAAAAAGGCAAGATATCAATAAATTATGCCTGAAATGCTGCCACTTCAATTTTAACCAAAACAAAATGAAATTCTTCCCTACTAAAGCCCTGATTGACCCACTTCCTTATAATTCTTATTTTGAAATGCCCTCTCTGCCATCTCTGCTTCCCGCCACCAGCACCCATTCACACCACCACCACCAATCCCATCTGTCACAAAATTCTAGCTATTATTGATTTAAATAAATCTGGCCTTTGGTTTGCTGTTCCACCACCCTCATCCAAGTTCAAGCCCTTGTCGTTTCAATCTTAGACACTAAAATACTTTCCTGATAGATGAATTCCTTACTTGCCTGAGGCTCCTTTCTAATCCATCCTTCCTATCACTACCAGATTAATCTAAAACAGTGCTTGGATTGCTCTTCAATAGTTCTCAGTGCCTACATGATAACCTACAAGCAGGCATCCAAGGCCCTCCAAAACCTTTATCCAAAGTAACAACATTACTCCCTTCCCTCCCTGAACCCCTTATCTCCCACCAGCCAAACTGAGTTACTCTCTGCCTCCAACACACTCCAAATAAACTTGCCCTACACATCTTCCCCTATATATTGACACTCTGTTCCTCAGCCTACCTAAATCTGACCCTAACCAATCTATCCTGATATCTCTTCTCTTCTGAAATCCTAAAATTATTCGCTTCATAAAATCATGACAGGCTGTTTTTGTTTGTTTTTTTAAACTTTGCAATTTTATTTTTTATTTATTTATTTTTATCCTCACCCGAGGACATTTTTCTATTTTTTGTTCAGATAGAGTGGGAGGGAGAGAGAGAGAAACATTGACATGAAAGGGACACATTGAGTGGTTGCCTCCAGCACGACCCAACCAGGGCCAGGGACAAACTGCAACCAAGGTACGTGGCCTTATCGGGAACCGAACCCGTGTCTCTGGACCGCAGGCCGACGCTCTAACCACTAAGCAAAACCAGCCAGGGCTTGTTTGTTTTTTTAACCAACATATCAGAATTTAAATATCCAAATGAATGCCATAGGAAGCAATATACTTATTCATTAGGGCTACAATCTGTAATTGATTTGGAAATTGTAAAATGTATATAATCTATTTTGAAGTTATAATTACACAGCATATGGCAGCTTAATGGAATAAATTTTCTCTCTTCTAAATTATTACCAAACTATTAAGTTTTCTGTTATTTAACTTATGTAATTTTTCTTTTTCCATATATGTGCAATATGAGAACCTTGAGGACAATCCATGTTTATAAAAGGTAGTTTTTGCAGGCTTCATAGTACTCAGCACAGAATAATTTCTAATTAGTTTTGAACACTTAACTGACATTCAAGTATTTATTAATCTGGTTTGGAATACCAAAAAAAATTCTAATCACAATCTTCATTCAAATTTCACTAAAGGCTTTGGTTTTTAAATGAGAACAAGGTTTATGTAAACATTTTATGTAAAAAAGTATTAGATTTGGGTCATTTCATGAACATTATAATAGAATTAAAAAGAAAAAAGGGAAACTCCAAAATCCATCAAGTTAATACCGTCATTTAAAATGTTAATGGAGCCCTGGCTAGTTTGGTTCAGCGGATGAGCATTGGCCTATGGACCAGAGAGTCCCGGGTTCGGTTCCTGCTAGAGGCAGGTACCACCAAAAAAAAAAAAAAAAAGTTAATGGAGCCTGGCCACTGTGGTTCAGTGGTTGAGCATGCACCAAGAGATCGCCGGTTCGATTCCCAGTCAGGGCACATGCCCAGGTTGTGGGCCAAATCTCTAGGGGGGGGTCATGCAGGAGGCGGCCAATCAATGTTCTCGCTCATCGATGTTTCCATCTCTCTCTCTCTCCCTTCCTTTCCCTCTAAAATCAATAAAGGAAAAAAATTTTTTTAAATGTTAATAGAAATTTATATTTGTTTCCATTAACAAATATAAATTTCTTGATAAAGAAAAGATATTCAAGACACTACTGAGTTAGAAAGTAAAGAATAACATGCATTATATGATCTAAATACACACAATTCTGTCTGAAAAATTAATCACAACCAAGGTGGAATTTTTGATGACCTTTACTTCAATTTGTTCTTTATTGCCTGATTTTTTTTTTTTTTTTTTTTTTTTACAAACAGCAGGTATTGCTTTTATAAAAAACAAAACTCTCAAGAGAAAAGTAAAAGCCCTGATAAACTGTAGCCCATTCTGGAGTCCAGAATGACTGAGAAGAGATCTATCACAGCACAATTCTATTCATGCCTATCTTCCCATACTTTCAGGTTCTCACTTACTTAGTAACCCCCTTGCTCAGTATAATAAAGCTTCAAAAAATGAGTTTGTCCAGGTGTTTTTAGAACTGTCACTGAACAAAATACCAGCCTGGGTGGCACCATACCTGCTGCTTGAAGTACCTTCTGTCTTCCTCATCAACAAGGACTAGATTCAAAAAGTATCTTACTGAAAATTTTTTGTTCACATCTCTCATTGTTGGAGTTGGGTCATATCCCGCTAAAAATAGTCTTATTGGAATTGATTCACCTGAAAGAAAAGCAATTTCCATTGAATTCTAAAAGATTATTAAATATAGTCACATAACTAGCACTAATCATGATAGAGAAGATACCAATGCTTCAGTTCCTCATGGGTGGGCAGCCTAACCAAAACTTTATAAACGAGGGTTTCTCAGCCTTGGCACTATTAACCTGTTAACCAGGAAATTTCCTTTTTACTGTATGCAACGTTTGATGTATTTATACGTCCCGCTCGGTTAACAGGTTAACATTTTGAGCTTGTTAATTCTTTGTTGTGGGTAAGGTCCTATGCTTTGTGAGAGGTTTAGCAGCATCCCTGGCCTCTACCAACTAGGTGCCAATAGCATTCCCCAGGTGACAAGCAAAAATGTCCCCAGTCACTGCCAAATCTCCTAGGGGTGGGGGTAGGGGGGTGGCAAAATTGCCCCTAGATGAGAACCACTGTTCTAAGAGCTAGAACGCCTGGATTCTAATCCCAGCTCTATGGTTTACTGGCTGTGTGACCTTGACTAAGTCACTTAACAATTCTTTTTCAAGTTCCTCATCTGTGAAATGAGGAAGACCAATAACACCCTTTTGTGGAGAATTTATAAGGACTATGGGGGTTAATACTAGATGTAAAAGGCTTAGAACAGTGCCAGCATGTAAGTGCTGCTTTAGTTTTGTTTTCTGATTTCATGAAGTTTACTGTCATTTCTAATCACATGTATAAATTCTTGAATACTTATTACTAATTTATCCAAAGCAACAAACATGTTCAGAATGATGACATTCCTTCATTACCAAAAAAACTGCTATTGAGATTCTTATGGCTTCTCTTTTCCTAGAGGTAACTGTTTGCATATCCTGTTTGGAATCTTTTTATATAATATTTTTCTTGTACATATCTATTTCCTAAGATATACAACCATTACTTTACATAAAAATTTGTGCTACTGGAATCTTACAAAGTAATACTGCATAATATAAGAGTACACACACCCAGGTCTTAGAGTCAGAAAGACCTGGGCTCAAACTCCAACTCTGCAATGATTCGCTATTGAAGGAAACCTGAATATGTCACCACAAAATGTGCCTCTCTGACATAAAAACTATTTTGAGCCGAAGGCAATTAAGATGCAGCAAAAGCAGAAAAGGCTCCCCCTTTTCTGCCTACAGGCAGGATGTAAATTCTTCTTTTACTGAAGACAGACTTATCAGCCAGGAATGGCACCAAAAGAATCATTAGTTTCCTCCCACGTATTTACCTTCCCCCAGTTTGCCAGCCTTTGAAGCCTAACTTTTCTCTGTCTAGTCATTGCTCTCCAAATTTACTGTTCTTTTGAAGATGCTATATAAGCTGAAATTCTAAGCCACTGCTTTGAGTTATTTTTGTTGGGGTTTCTCTTGCCCAATGTGCACTGCATGGATTAAATAAACTTCATTCTTCTATTAATCTCTCTTTTTGTTAAACAGTCCCAGCTAAAAAACTAAGATGGGTAAAAGTAAAGTTCTGCCTCCCCTAAACTGTATCACCTTTAACAGGGTTTTTAACCTCTTTGCATATTGGTTTCATCTGTAAAATAAGGGATACCACCACCTAACTCAAAGCGTGGTAGGGAACTTTAGAGCACCTAAGAGTAGTTGGCACTCAATAAATAGCTACTTTTTGAAGTAATTAATAACAGAGTGAGAAAAAACCAAAGACATACATTTAAAATGATAAAATTGGCTTTATTGTCTTACTGAAGATTATCTAGTAATAGAACTGCTTATTTTCTTGGGGGCTATAAGGACTCTAGAATCCCAAAGGAATTAATGCTCACCTATACTTCACCTTATGTTCGGCAAGAATAAAAAAGATTTACAGAGATGAACTATTATAACAGAAGACAATCAAAATATTACAAATTCAGAACTAGAGAAGAGATATACATGCCTTCTAATTCTAAATTTAAACAAAAAATTAAACCTTGTTTCAGACTAGGAAGTACTATTACAGTGTTCTCAGTATATATACAAAGATGATCTTCAAAACCATCATTAAGAATTCATAAATATTTTCACACTACAGAAATACTTGCAAACAAAATTGCCATGAACACTGCTGTTTGCACTACCTATAACACAAAAGAAACAAATGAAAAGTGTATTACCTTTGACTGGTGCACCATCCATTATTTCATATTTAGCAATTGTTTCTGTCTCTGTTGTGGTACTGGGTCCTAGTGCAATAATGTAAAATATATTAATTTAAACATTTCCAGAATATAATTTCCAGTTATATACCTCCTTCTTATTTTCCTACTATATTATTTGAGTACTAATTTATCTTTCTATTTTTGTGAAAATGTCGATCATTCTTTTTTATTTCCTGATCTACATGTAACATACTTAACACTCAACTGAATGTTTCACTCCCTTCCTCCCAAAGATAATATACAGTGCAAGAATCTTCTTCACAGAGTTCCTTCTATAGTTTCCAATATCTGATAAGTTGGAAACTAGCAACATACATCAGAACCAACCACTGACTTACTAGTTTTCTCTGCAATACCCAAACTGTCTTCTCTTGGAGTGTAAATTAACTTTAACATAAACAAAATATCAAACTGAATATTTGATTGACATGTACTTCTTTTAAATTTGGGGATTCACCCACTAAGGAATTACTGGAACCAGACATTTTTTAAAAGGTCAGTGATATGGTAAGTGAAAAAAGCATACCAAAACATATAGTAATGATTCCAAGGTTGTAAAATATACAACATGCAAAGATTAAAGTCTGATCTGAATTATGAGTACAGATAATTTTTTATTTAAAATTTTCTAAAATCAAAACGTTTCTATACTTAGAAAAAAATGTTTCAATAAACATTTTAAAAAAAATAACAAATAGGAACCTGAAGTTTGATTTTAATGTCTTTAAATCACTAAAACCTTTATTAGCAGCTGAAATATGGCAATTAAGAAATCACAGATGTTTATAATTATGACTACCAATGATAAATTCTTAAAATATGTTGCCTAAACTTATTTTCAGGAAAAAAAATCAACAAAGCTAAAGGAGACAAATTAAATCTATATATTAAAATTAAAAGGCAGTTTATGAACCAATAAATGATTTGGGGACAACTAGTCAGCTATATGGAAAAAATATATATTGGATTCATACTCATATCTTACATCAGGACAAATTCCAAATGATTTAAAAATTTACACAAGCCCTGGCTGGTTTGGCTCAGCGGTTAGAGCGTCGGCCTGCAGTCCAGAGAGACCCGGTTCAGTTCCTGCTAAGGGCACATATCCTGGTTGCAGTTTGTCCCCGGCCCTGGTTGGGTCCTGCGGGTGGCAGCCACTCGATGTGTCCCTTTCACGTCGATGTTTCTCTCTCTCTCTTTTCCTCTCTCTCCCTCCCACTCTATTGAACAAAAAATGAAAAAATGTCCTCGGGTGAGGATAAACAAAACAAAACAAAAAATTAAACAAAATCCCTAAACTACAAGTCTTTTTTTTTTTTTTTTTTTAATGAATTTTTATTTATTTTTTTTGTTACAGACATTTTACCTTTTTACCCGTTGGCACCCCCCCCCCCCACCCTGTCCCCAGCTTAGTTGTCCATGTCCATTGGTCATGCATACATGCATATAAGTTCTGTGGTTTATCTCTTCCCCCCCGCCCCACCCCCCATCCCCTCTTCTGAGGGATGTCAGTCTGTGCCCTACTTCCATGTGTCTGGGTCTACTGTATTCCTCAGACTGTTATGTTCATTATATTCCGTATATAAGTGAGATCATGTGGTATTTGTCTTTTTCTGCTTGGCTTCTTTCACTTAGGATAATACTTTCCAAGTCCCTCCATGTAGTCTCAAAGGATAAGAGATCTTTCTTTCTTACCGCTGCATAGTACTCCATTGTGTATATGTACCACTGCTTTTTTATCCATTCGTCTACTGGTGGACACTTGGGCTGTTTCCAGATTTTAGCTATTGTAAATAGTGCTGCTATGAACATGGGGGTACATATATCCTTCCTGATTGGTGTTTCAGGCTTCTTAGGATATATTCCCAGCAGTGGGATCACTGGGTCAAATGGAAGTTCAATTTTTAATTTTTTGAGGTAGCACCATATTGTTTTCCATAGCGGATGCACCAGTCTGCATTCCCACCAGCAGTGTATTAGAGTCCCCTTATCTCCACACCCTCGCCAACACTTGTTGTTTGATGATTTGTTGATGGCGGCCATTCTGACAGGTGTGAGGTGATACCTCATTGTTGTGTTAATTTGCATCTCTCTGATGATTAGTGATGTTGAGCATTTCTTCATATGTCTCTTGGCCATTTGTATGTCCTGTTTGGAGAGGTGTCTATTCAGCTCCTCTGCCCATTTTTTAATTGGGTTCTTTGTCTTCCTTTTGTGGAGTTGTATGAGCACTCTATATATATTGGAGATTAACCCCTTATCTGATACATCATTGGCAATGATGTTCTCCCATACAGTGGGTTGCCTTTCCATTTTGATGATTGTTTCTTTTGCTGTGCAGAAGCTTTTTAGTTTGATGTAGTCCCATGTGTTCATTTTCTCCTTTATTTCTGTTGCCTTAGGTGATGTATCAGTGAAAATTCTGCTCCGTATGATGTCCGAAATTTTGTTGCCTACATTTTCTTCTACTACAAGTCTTATTTTAGTAGAATAAAGCAAAAAAAAAGTATTCACATGTATGCATAACCAATGGACATAGACAACAATGCTGGGTGGGGTGGGGTGTGGGGGGGTGGGGAGGAGGGTGTGTGTGGGGGGAAACATCTGTAACAAAAATAAATTAATAAAAATTGAAAAAAAAAATTATTCTTAGAACCCCAGTATAAAAAAGTACTTTTTAACTGTGGCACAAAACCCAGAGTCCACAAAAAGAAAAACTAATAAACAATACAGAAATGGCAAGAACTTCCACATGGCATAAAGCACCACAGCAAGACAATCTGGGGCATTTTTTTTCCTGCTCTTAACAGAAAAGGATTGACTTTCCTATATATAAAGTTTCTTTTTTTTTTTTCTTTATCCTCATCCAAGGACATTTTTCCATATTTTGTTCAGATAGAGTAGGAGGAAGAGAGAGAGAGAGAGACATCAATGTGAAAGGGACACATCAAGTGGCTGCCACCCACACAACCCAACCAGGGCCGGGGACAAACTGCAACCAAGGTACATGCCCTTAGCGGGAACCGAACCCGGTCTCTCTGGACCGCAGGTCGATGCTCTAACCGCTGAGCCAAACCAGCCAGGGCTATATATAAAGTTTCTACAGATAAGAAAAGACTAATAATCCAACACAGATGGGGCAAAGGATATGGATAGGCAGTTTACAAGAAATACAAATGGCTTTTATACACATGAAAAGATGCTCACTCTCAACCAGAATGACAAAACTAAATTCAAATTACAATGGAGAACTTCTTCCCTCTACCCATCAGATCAGCTAAGTTTTGTAACCCTGTGCTGATTAGAACAGAGGAAAAAGAGGCATTCCCAACATTCATTGCCGGTACATGCAAATTGTTACAAATACTAAAGAGAACAAACTGGAATTAGTATCAAAATTAAAGATGAATATACCCTTTGAAACAGCAATTCCACTTCTAAGATTTTATCTTGCACACACAGGCAAAATAGTATTAACCGAAACACTTTTTGTAACAAGACTAGAAACAACCTATATGTGCACCTATTGCCAAGTGGTTCGATTCCAAAACATACATCAAAGGGAATAGTATAAAAAAAAAAGATGAGAAAGTGTTCTTTCTTATATATTGATATGAAAAGATCTCTAAGATATACTACTAAGTGAAAAAGCAAATCGGTATTGTAACCATTTAACTAAAAAGGAGAGAGGGTATAATATAGAGGTACTTGCATACACTATATGCATAAATAGAAGGGTTTTTTTAAATTTAATAAAGTCTTATTTTTCAAAACATATAGCTGGTGGGACAGACCTGCTGTTCATGCATCTTCACCAGCAGCTATGGCATTCCCACCTTTCATGTTTCTGGTGTAAATTACTTGAGCTCTGTGCTTTGAAACTAGTTCTTTTTTGTTGTTGATTTTTAGATATAGGGAGGGAGGGTGAGAGAGAGAAACATTGATTTGTTGTTCCACTTATGTATGCATTCATTGGTTGCTTCTTGTATGTGCCCTGACCGGACATCGAACCCACAATCTTGGCATATCACAACAATGATCTAACTAACAGCCACCCAGCCAGAGCAGGAAACTAGTTTAGTAAGTCCTTTACTAAGGAGCTCCTGAAGGGCTGCCCTGGACAGGCATTGTGGATCTTCAGTTTCTCAGAGACAAGAGTTGGGGTTATAAACTTATAGTTGTGAAATTCCTTACAGAGTTTGTCATACATTGCTTTGTCAAACAAGACTAGGTTATTGAGTGTGTCCTGAACTTTGCCTTTGGATATTTCTTTTTGGTCTTGTCCTTAGATTTATTCACTGGGTCTTTGTCTTTCTTGGCCAACTTTCCAGCATCTTTCTTCTTCTTGATGTCCTTGGGGGCCATAGCAAAACCCGAAGAGCAGCTACTACCACTGTTGCCTTGATAAGAAGTCTAGAAGAATTTTAAAACTTCTAAACATATTACCTATAAGCAGCTGGAGTACAGAAATAGGACATTTTTTACTGTATAATGTCTTATACTTTATTTTTGAATCATGTGAATTTATTACCTATATAACTCTCCCCTTATCCACATTTTCAGTTACATACAGTCAACTATGGTCCAAAAATATTAAATGAAAAATTCCAGAAATAATTAATGTTTTAAATTGCTCACTGTTCTAAATAGTGTGATGAAATCTTATGCCCTCCCGCACCCTTCTGCCTGAGATGTGAATCATCCTTCCTTTTTTTTTAATGTTTTTATTCACTGTTTTTATAAAGAGAGGGAGAGGGAGAGAGAGGAACATCAGTGAGAGAAAAATAACAATCAGCTGCCTCCTGCACACCCCCTACTGGGGACTGAGCCTAAAATCAGGCTACACCTGGGCTTGTGCCCTGACCAGAAATCGAACCAGCGACCTCTTGGTGCATGGGTCAACACTTAACCACTGAGCCACACCGACCAGGCTGAATCATCCTTTTGTCCAGTGTATCTGAACTATATAAGCTGCCTGTTCATCTCTTAGTAGTAAAGTCAGTTATCAGATCAACTGTCACAGTACTGCAGTGCTTGAGTTCAAGTAACCCTTATAGTAACCTAACGCTATGTCACCATGTGTACATCATTCACCGTACTTCATCTCATCACATAAGCACTGTATCATCTCTCATGATCTCGAGAAGGGTGAGGACAGTACAAGTTATTTTGAGAGAGAATGAGACCACATTCATATAATTTCATTAGAGTATAATGTTGTAATTGTTCTATTTTATTGTTAATTAATCTCTTACTGTGCCTAATTTATAAATTAAACTTTACCATAGGTCTGTATGTATAGGAAAAAAACAAAGATATATAGGGTCAGTACTATCTGTAGTTTCAGGCATCCACTGTGGGTCTTAAAATGTATACCCCATGGATAAGAGGGAACTACTGTATTCAAAATTCAAATTAAAGAAAAACATAAATGAGTAACGTACTGCCAGCAATATTAAGTATCAAAAGTTAGTATCTAATGTGAATATTTATGTTTAAATAATATTTTAAGATTTTAAAATTTCAACTATAACAGGAATTTTCATTCAAATACTCTTTCAACTTACCAATTCCTGTGATCTCTTTTTTGATCAGCTGTAACTCCATATGTTGGATTTTTATTCTTACTAATAAGAAGTAAATTTTTCCAACAATCACATCCTTTAAATGATACCTTTGGAGAAAGAATATATCTCACTTATACCAAATATTTAAAAACAAGAAAAAGAGAGAAATATGTCCTGAAAGGCTTTATTAGACATCTTTAGATTAGTAACTATTTAAGAATACCATTTTGACTATTTATATTGTTTACTGTTCCTCTTTTTCAAAAAATTATTACTCATAGTACAATATGCACTGCTTAATGACAGGGATACGTTCTGAAAAATGCATCATTAGCCCTGGCCGGTTTGGCTCAGCAGTTCGAGTGTCGGCCTGTGGTCCAGAGAGACCCAGGTTCAGTTCCTGCTAAGGGCATGTATCCTGGTTGCAGTTTGTCCCCGGCCCTGGTTGGGTCGTGCAGGAGTCAACCACTCGATGTGTCCCTTTCACATCGATGTTTCTCTCTCTCTCTCTCTTTTCCTCTCTCTCCCTCTCACTCTACCTGAACAAAAAATGGAAAAATGTCCTCGAGTGAGAATAAAAATAAATAAATAAATACATAAATAAATAAATAAAGCATCATTAGGCGATTAGATAATGTTGTTGTGTGAACATTATAGGGTACACTTACACAAACCTAGATGGTATAGCCTACTACTCACTGAGGCTTGTGGTATCCCACTGTTGTGTATGCGGTATGTTGCTGACTAAAATGTTATGTAGCACATTACTGTACTATAAAAAAAGGAAATCAAACTTTTGCCCAGTCGATGTAGCTCAGTGGTTGAGCATCGACCCATGCACCAGGAGGTTGCCGGTTCAATTCCTGGTCAGAGCACATGCCCAAGTTGTGGACCTGATCCCCAGTGAGGGGCATGCAGGAGGCAGCCAATCAATGTTCTCTCTCATCGATGTTTCTATCTCTCTCTTCCTCTCTCTCTAAAATCAATAAAGAAAAGAAATCAAACTTTTACTTGAGTATCAACATACCTCAGAATAATTAGCCTTATTGTTTGTTGATTCTTACTTAGAGGTTAATGTAGTTTCCAAAGAACTTAAGCATGGAAAATTAAGATTCTTATGCTTGAAATATTAATTTGGTATATGAAGATGTTTTGAACAATAAAAAGTCTACACAAGAGTCTAGTGTCATTATTACTCCAAGTGCTAGAACAGTGTAGCTAACAAATCACCTGCCTGGAAGAGAGACTCCCTACTTGAGTTTGTTGCTATAACATCTAATAATTAGAGACCTTTCTCAAGTACCTTGAAATGAAGTGGTGATACAAAATTCCTAAAATACCCAAAGGGCTTTTTAAGCCTTCTCCCAGGCTTGGAACTCAAAATAATATCCCAGGAGTTGATTAATTGCAATTAAGTCAGTCTGAAGCAAGGCTCCCAGCTGACAAGTATTTAGGTCCTAAACTATCTGATAATTTCATCAACAATATAATTTAAGACTCTGAAGGCATGTATATCACATTTTCAGTGATATAAAGTAGAGAGTAACAACTAATAAAAATAATGTAATAGAAGAAGGAGATAAAAGAGTGTGTACATTCATTTCTTCAACAAATAAACTTTAATGAAAAAATAGAGGGGGGAAACTATAAATTAGATTTAAAAGTCAAACAACAAATTGCAATGTGTTTAGATGCACTGGATCTGAACAAATCTTGTTTGAATACTGATCTGAACAAACCATGTATGAGACAATTTAGGAAAATGTGAACAATGACTGGATATTTGATGATATTAATTAATTATTAATATTTTTATATATAAGAGTATTGCCATATTAAAAATGATACCTAAGCCTGACTGGTATGGCTCAGCGGTTGAGCATCAACCCATGCACCAGGAGGTCGCCGGTTTGATTCCCAGTCAGGGAACATGCCCAGATTGTGGGCCAAATCCCCAGTGGGGGCATACACGAGGCAGCCAATCGATGTTCTCTCTCATCGATGTTTCTCTCTCTCTCTCCCTCTCCCTTCCTCTCTCTCTAAAATCAATAAAGAAAAAAAATAATTTTTAAAAGACAGTATTTTTGTTTAGTTTTAAAAAGACAATGTGATCCAGGCCAGTAAAATAAATTTTTAGACATAAGGGATTAGGGGCCTTCTTAGATGGTGAGATGCTCTATAAAAAATGATCAAGCAGAGACTTACCAGGAATAGAATATGAAAGACACTTGGATGGAGTCAAAAGTCAGAACAAACTCCTAAAAGTTTCTTCAACCCAGAGATTCTGTGGGTCTGTCAATATCAGATTGATGTCAATTCTATCCTCATTTTGACCAATTTACAAAAACCTGAAAAGCTTACTTCCCAATTCTCCTTGAACGTTTATGTTTGTGAAAAGTACTTACTTTGATTTATTATATTCAAATTCTATGTGTAGACAATCTTCAATGCCCACTTCCATCTTAATAGAGTTGTTAACATCGGGATAGGTAGCAAGCTGGTGAACAATAAGATCATATTCTTTTACCAAGTCTGTCAGTCTTCTTACTATTGTCACTTTAAGAAAATACCTACAAAGTTAATGGAAAGGTCAAGTTAAATCTCTTATGACAAATTCCAGTGTTTTTAAAAACCACACATTAACTGTTTACTCAGCTTTCTCTTTGCTGGAACTCTTTTTGGATCAACTTCATTTATTTCATGATGGAGTTCTAATTTTTAAATAAATGCCCCTACCATGAAATAAAAAAAAAAAAAGTTCCATTTTAAGAATAGTGTACATACTTTTTAGATGAATTTGGGGTACTATCATCAAGCCTAACTGGGGGAAATCACTCTAGATCACTCCTTAACCATAGAGTAAATGAGATTCTGTTGGGAAACAGATTTAGAGAGTAATTCCATTTACAGAACAAATAAAGTACCTAAGAGGCAATTTATACAAAGGAAGTATATGACTAAAACTTCTCATAATGAGGTTCTCTAAATCTATAATGATAGAAGGCTCTTATTACCTCAGATCAGCATTAGCCAGACAAAACAGTGTTTGACAAAATTTTTTTAAATCTTAAGTCTTCCAGTCCAGAATTATAATGAGAAGTTCTAACAAGATATTCAGTAGTAACAATTATTTTCTAGTTTTGACTCTGTCTACAGTTTGTAATACACCTAATTCATACCTCAAGCGGACATTGGCACCGATGTAAGATTCATATGGCTTTTCAACTTGCATAAATTCAAAATCATAACTTCTGCTCTGGGTCAGTTCTCCAGGTAAGGCTAGTTCTTTGACTAGGTTTACAAATTCATGAGTATTACTCTTGTCATTGAAAAGTTCTAAGAAATTTTAAAAAGCAAAAAGACCAATTATATTTCATATCATTTCATTAAAACCCAAACTTCTACCTCCAAAGCAAATAAAAATAAATTCATTCCTTTAACGTAGTTAGGGTTTGCCCAATATGAAACTGTTTTAAAAGACATATTGCCAGCAATTATTTGAACTTCCTCCCTTCAAGGCAAAAAAAAGTGTTTTATTCTTTTGTGTTAGACAAATATATTACTTGGATAAAATTATAATATGCCAAAAACTAAAATCAATTATTAATTACTATAATTTGCCCTTCAGGTATAATCTCATCTAGAATAGATATATAAATAAACATCTACCCATTCCAATTTTAATAATTTAAAAATGTAGTCAAACTTGGCTAGATGTTAAAGCCTAGTTATGTATATAGTATTATAAAGACATATATTCTCATTTCTGAATCTGCAGTACCAAAAAGATTTATACAGTTAAACACCTGCTAAATCAAGGATGTCTCTGAAAAACATGTATGGAAATGGACACAAGTTGATCTAAGTCAAGAAGAAATTACACCTTTTCCTTTTCACACAAAACTTTCAGTTGACAGGTAAGTGGTTACAGGCACACACTAGGTTAGGAAGACAAATGGCTGATGAAGGTGACATATAATTGTGAGTAAAGCTGGTGGGAAAATGTAGGCAGATGGAAATTTCAGTGAGTCAACTAATTTACCTGAATTATTTTTCAAGACTAGTAGCTTACATAACTCCTTTCATTTTTAGTAATTAATTTTAACAATAAAGGCAGGATAAGTCAAATATAATTTAAATACAATTAAAAGAAATATGATTTAATGTTTATAAAATAAATCCCTTTATTATGCAAAATCAATTCCTTCCACAAAGCTAAGCTCTAATTCAATTATTCAAGTGCTAAACCCAACCCTCTTCAAACTCAATTATCAAAGAAAAAAAAGTAATACTATTTTACAACTCACCAATTTGCCCTACAAATTCAATTCTAATTCCTTGGTGTTCTAGCCTCTTTCCAGGTTGCTTAAAGGCTAGGTTTACCTGCCAAAACATGAAATTGTAAGAAATGTTAATCCTTTGAGTGGGCCTACCAGTTGATTCCTTCCAGATGAATGCAATGTATACATATTTCAAATATTTATTTCTGAAGTTTGAGATACCCACATACCTAGATCATGACGACCTTTATAACACCAGAGAACGTATAACTTACTCACATATGATCACTAGTGAACTTATTACTTATACATACACTTAGAGCATCTCCTTTGTTAGGAAGGAATCCTTCTTATAGCTGGATAACTATAAATACTCAATTTAAAAAATTTAAAACTTTCAACTATTCAAATGTGTTTTCTGGCCAAATAGTTAAACAATCTTACAACAATAGTATATTTTCAAAAAAAATTTTCTTTATTGATATTAGAGAGGGAAAGAAAGGAAAAGGAAGAGAAAGATAGAAACATCAATGAGAGAGAACATGGATTAGCTGTCTCCTGCATGCCCCCCCAATGGGGATCAGGCCCACAACCTGGCATGTGCCCTGACCAGGAACGGCGACCTCTTGGTGCATGGGTCAATGCTCAACCACTGAGCCACATCGGCCAGGCAACAATAGCATTTTAATATAAGGTAATCACGAATTCCAAGAATTAATCTAAAAGATCACTTTCAGCATTTTGTAACTAAGACTATCTTGTTATAATTCCTATAAAGCAATGCTTTATAGGAATAAAGCAATGCTTATTGTCCTGAGTCTGCTACTAATCCTAAAAATGTAACTGCTAAAGATTTAAATTTTGAATATGATTTATTTTATAAACTTATGAAGTAAAATGTATAATCAGGGACTCAAAATCCCTGAATTCATATCTGCCAAATGAAAACCTTAAATTTTATAAATTTTTAATTTGACAAAATATCTGTAAAGTACACACATATTAAAAATAAAATTCCAGCCCTGGCCAGTTTGGCTCAGCAGTTAGAGCATCTGCCCGCAGACCAGAAAGTCCCAGGTTCGGTTTCCACTAAGGGCATGTATTTCTATTGCAGTTTGTCCCCGGCCCTGGTTGGGGTCGTGTGCGTGACAGCCGGTCGATGTGTCCTCTCACATGGATGTTTCTCTCTCTCTCTCCTCCCCCACCTTTCCCTCTCACTCTATCTGAAGATAAATGCAGAAATGTCCTCCGGTGAGGATAAACAAACAAACAAACAAACAAATAAACAATTCCAAATGTTTAAGCTAACAGCCAGGCTTGATGTGGCTGAGTGGTTGAGCATGGATCCATGCACCAAGAGGTCGCCAGTTCGATTCCCGGTCAGGGCACATGCCCAGGTTGTAGGCCAAATCCCCAGTGGGGGACATGCAGGAGATGGCAAATCTACGTTCTCTCTCATTGATGTTTCGATCTCTCTCTCTCTCTCTCTCCCTCCCTTCCTCTCTCCCTAAAATCAATAAAGAAAAATATTTTTTTAAAAGGATTAGCTAACAAAAAAATACTCTTTACTATAAAAAATATTGCTAATATAACTCTTAAAAACTTTTCTTCCCAACAGTGCTTCTCAAAAGATAATGGAAATCGAGGACCAATAAAAAAAGGGGGGGGGGAGTCTAATTACTTGTTATAAATTATATAAATTAAAATAATCAATCTTCTGCATCTTCCGTATTTATAACCAGGAGGAGTTAGTTACTTGCCTTCCAAATTAATATCTCAGAAAAAGAAGTAAATAATTAAATTGTGGTATATCATATAATGGAATATTATTAAATTTAAAAATATGGCCAAAGAATTTTTAATGATGTGGGAAGATGTGCATGATATGTTATATGAAGGAAGCATGGTCAAATTGTTTACAATTACAATGCCAATAATACTGTTTAAAAACTACAGAAAAAAATTCTCTTAATAGCAGTTACTTCAGGAATGTATAATTATGAGTAATTTTGTTTTCTTCTTGGTAGTTCTCAAGAATGGTTTTCTTTTCACTACACACACACACACACACACACACATTCATTCATATATGACAAGCAAATAATACTTTCAAAGTCAGAAGAACGCTTTTAAGAAAAAAAGGTAGTACTTAATTAAAGATGTTACACATACACTACTAACAAGTTAAATTTTAGGTCTGAACCACAAATAAAACAAGCATAACACCCAACTGTTTCGTTATGCCAGGCAGTAATTAGAGCTATTATCTAATTTGTACTAACAAAGCACACAGAAAATAGTATACTTCAAACAATATCTATTTGGCAACAGTTTATAATAATGTCTTTGTTTGAACATGGCTGTATCTGATGTTTTTAAAATTTACAGTACTTCAAAAAACACTTTGAAACCACACTATTAAGGTAGAAAAGCAAAGTTGTTCCATTTTCCCACCAAAATGCCTAAACTCTGAAATTTTCCTTGATTTCCACTGATGTTAAAATGTAGTTGCTTTTTAAGCCTAATTCAAACTACTCTGGAAAAATCCCAGGATAGGAAGGTATAATTGAGTATACTGGTTTAATAACTATTCTGCAAGGGAGCATAAAAAAATAAACAAATTGGGCCAGTGTGGCTCAGTGGACTGAGCAAAGTCCCATAGACTGAGAGGTCCTGGTTTGATTCCTGGTCAGGGCACATGGCCAGGTTTCAGACTTGATTCCCAGTAGGGGGCATGAAGAAGGTAGTGGATTGATGTTTCTCTCACATTGATGTTTCTGTCTCTCGCTTTCCCTCTCTCTAAAAAAAAAAGACAAGAACACATATATATATTTTTTTCTTTTAAAGTGAAATTATGATGGTGAACTGACTGGGTTAAATAATTTTAACACCAACTCAGTGATACTTTAGTAACTTTTATTATAACTTCAAACTGACATAAAAGTTGCAAGAATAGCACAAGGAAATCTCACATAAGCTTTACTCAGACCCATCAGTTATGTTTATATTTTGTCCCATATGCTTTATCATCTTCTCTATAAATACACATATGCATTCATGCATACACACTTTTTCACAACCAAGAATAAATTGAAGACATCATGCCCCTCCTACCCCAAAACACTTCATGTGTACCTGCTAAGAAAATGCGACTTTCTCTTACATAATCACAGTGCAATTATTAAAATCAGGGAAGTTAACATTCCATAGTCTATATTCAAATTCCATCAATCATCCCAATAATGTACTTCATATCCTTTTTTCCTCCTGTCCACCCTCCAATCTAGGATTATACATTACATATAGTTGTGTCTCTTTAGTCTCTTAATCTAGAACATTCCTCAGTCATTGCCTTTCTGGACCTTCATGTTTTTTTAAGAATACAGGTCAGTTACTTTGTAGAATGTCCCTCAATTTAGGGTTCTTTCATATTTTATCACAATTAGACTCGGCTTATACATTTTTGGCAAGACCACCACAGCAGTGAAGTTGCGTCCTCCTTCAGTGTATCTTGTTAGGAAGCACATGATGCCAGTTTGTCCTAATACTGGTGATGTTAACTTTGATCAATTGGTCAAGGTGACTCTCCAGGTTTCTCCAATTTAAAGTTACTATTTTTCCTTTTGCTGTTAATAAGTAATCACAGTAGAGAAACTTGAGACTATGTATATATGTTTAAAAGTACATGAAAAGAGAGGGTAGGAAAACAATCTATATATAAAACACATCTACTACTCTAACAAGCCAGTCTCAAAGCTCATTCTTCAATATATAATATTCTACAGATGTCTCAAATAATGCTGTCTTGAGGATCTATTTAAGGAGTGAAATTCATCTATTTTGTATTTAAGACAAATATATATCAGTGTACTACATGCCATTTATATAGGGTCATTTACAGAGGATACCAAGATACATTATTGTTGCTGAGATTGTGATTATCTAAGATTAGTTTCCAACTGCTGCTAGAAGAATATGGTACATATTGTGTTAACATGAGATACTACAATAATAGTCCTTGCTTAAAGATATAAACTATACACTTCTAGAATCTCGGACTTTGTTCATTTTTGCAATAAGGAATAGATGCACAGTTCACTATAGGTGGCTAGGCCCCGGTATCACCACTTCAAGAGAATTTACTCATCATCATTGCCACTTTACCACCTCCTTGAATCCTGAGATTCTAGGATACAATAAGAGACATCCCAAACTGACAGAAAATTCAATGAACAGTGTGTCAAAGAGGAAAAAGACATCTTTCTTATTCTTTTGTTTCAAAGGGCATAGCCAGACCAACAAACAGAAGCTATAAGGAGCCCTCCCCCCAAAAAATCTAAAAGTGTGTCCTGGTTAAGAAATTATAACTTATGATCCCGCCCCCCACAAAATCACCAGATAAATTAGGTCAAATTTTTCACAATTCAAAAAAAAAAAAGAGAGAAGTATCTCAACTATTAAATACACAGCAAAACTCCCTTAGTCAGAAGGTATAGTAATGCAGTCCAACTGTTCTAGACTTAAGGAAAACTTGTCACATTAGCCAAAGCAGTAAATATTCTAAGGATAAAAAGAACCTGAGTGAGTAGCTTTTAAGACTTTCCCTATTTATCTTGTGATAATATAAGTATTTCCAGTTGTGTTAAGGAATGCCTCAAAAAGTCTCCAAAACATTTTTGACAAAAAGCAACTAATTTTAACTCTAAAAAGTATATGCTATAACAGTCCCAAGACAATTCAATGTGGAAAGAATATTTTTCTCAGCAAACAGTGCTGGAACAACTAAATATCAACATACGAAAGAATAAAGTTAAATCCCTACCTCACACCATACACCAGAATTAACTCAAAATGGATCAAAGACCTAAATGTACAAGCTACAATTACAAAAGTCTTAGAAGAAAAGATAGGTGTATCTTCATTATGTTGGATAGGCAATGCTTTCTTAGATAATACCAAAAACATGCACAGCAAAATAAAAAAATAATAAACTGGATTTCATCAAAATTTAAAACTTTAATGCTTCAAAAGACAACATCAAGATAGTAAAAAGACAACTCACAGAATAAAAGAAAATATCTGTAAAACATAACTGACAAAGAA